GTGCTGCAGGATACGTGCGACTAGATGTGTGCGACAGACGATGTCTTCAGTATCAGTACAAACTGTTTAAAACTGGGATTCTCAGTCTATTTTTCTCTTGCGACACGTGCAAGCTCCTTTCGAATTGTTATACCTTACAATATGAGTGAGTAAATATTTTGCTTAGGATTCCGTTTATTTGAGTTTTGCTTGATCGTAGTTTAGCAGGGGCACCCAACGACAATTCTCGGAAGAATATCTGTTCGGAAGGCGATTTGAGATCTAGAATTTTCGAAACATTTGTTGTAAAATTTCTTGCTTGCCTGCCTCTCCTAGGATTTTCGAACATGTAAAAAATGGTATAATTGCCTATTTTTAACGGATTTTTACCCTAAAAAGGTCACCTAGAATTTTCGGGAACCTTTTTTCTGGCTGAAATTTTCGAAAAAGTAAGTTTTGATCCCTATTATTTTCGGATCACTAGACTTTCAGCTAGGAAATCCGAACAGATGAAAAATTTTTAGGGGATAAAAATATGCCTATATCTACCGTTTAAATACTAAAATACGTTTAACAATGCTACGTTTAAGTGGTTTTGAACTATATTCTCGTTGGATGCCCCTGGTTTAGGGTATCTGTGTGTTCAGTTTGTATTTTCTGCGGCAGCCCTACATTTCTTGGTGAAATGAATGAGTAGCTTAATCGCTCTATCGTCTCAAGGCGTTTACATTCCCTCCTAATTTTTTTTTTTTTTGTGAAAACTACCTTGAACCATGACCAGTTTTTTTAGTCTATCGGCAAATGAAGACCTCTTTTTCTACAACATCATCATGGGATCCTGTATGTCTGAAAATAATTCCAGTGGTCAGTGAATACTAGACACACCTAATGACAACTGCTGGCTCACCGCTTTTGCGGGAGCTTGCGTTTCCCTTCGGATGAGCGTTGCGTAACACTTCAACTCACTGCATGTTCACCTTCTGGCTGGGTTGCATGAATTGGACGAATTATGCCTTGGGTGGGAAGTTTCCATCACTCCATAGACTCTTGCAAGATATTTTTATATATGCATTGCTTTGTCTATCCACAGTTAATCTTTCCCTTAATAAACTGTTTCCCTCTTATACTATTTCGTTTACTTGAAAAAAAAGTTTGCTGGAACCAAAGTTCTCATGCGATCAGCATGGCGATGAACGTTCCTTTATCCTTCATTGTTTTCGTGGCGAAGGTGACAACATTTTTCCTTAAATGAAAACGTATTTCCTTCAGTATCGATGCATTGTTGTGCATTGTAAAGAATTAGTAAAAGTATACTC